TGTGGCCATATCAATATTTATAGCAGCTCAATTCACCAAAGCTAAGCTATGAAACCAGCCTAGGTGACCTTCAACTGATGAATGGATAAAAAAAAAATGTGGTACATACACACAATGGAATATTGTTCAGCTATAAAGAAAAATGAAACATTGGCATTTGCTGGTAAATGGATCAAACTGGAGACTATTATGCTAAGTGAAATAAACCAATTCCAAAAAAGCAAAGGCCAAATGTTCTCTCTGATATGTGGATGCGGACTCACAATAGGTTGGGGGGAGGTAGGAGTGGAGTTTCACTGATTGGACAGGGGGAATGGGGGGAAGGGGGAGGGTATTAGAATGAAGAAAACAGTAGAATGAATCGGACGTTACTTTCCTATGTTCATATGTGAAAACATGACCAGTATAAATCTACATCATGTACAACCACAAGTATGGGAAATTATACTCCATGTATGTATGATATGTCAAAATATATTCTACTGTCATATAACTAAAAAGAGCAAATAAAAATTTAAAAAATATTGGTGGTCAATTGCCATTATATTTGACATTGATTGGACTGGTGTCTTTACTGTCACTCAAGCTCCCCCTTTCCTTATGGGTGACTCACATGTCTACTCATCCTGTATGTACAGTTGTATATGTATATGTTAGCTACTAGCTACATGTAGATATTTAAAGTTTAATTTGATTAAAATTAACTGACTTTTAAGAAGTAGTTTATTCCTCACAATTGTCTCATTTCAATTTCTCATTATCCACATGTGACTTTTGTATAGTGCAGAACATTTTCATTACTACAGAAAATGACATTGGACAACAGTGATATAGATCATTCCATATTATTATCCTAAGTTTTCCTGCTACTATGTGGCAGCACTGTGCCATAGGCTGGTTAATCTTCAGTGGCTCATTTGTTCTAAGGTCTCAACTCTGCTGTTCTATATTTGCCCTGAAGTTTTGGAATATTAGGTAGAATTGTTTGCCCCTCTTTTTTCTACCAACATTTGTCAGCCCTTTAAGGATTTGCAAACCTTTGGGTGATCTTTTATAATTGTTATTCTGAAAGTAGTGCCTCAAAGATATAAAGGCAGGACATTTGATAACTGCTCTGTTTTGATTCATAAGCAGTTTTTTCTATCAACCCTGGTTTCAGTGATACCACTGGTTATGGGTAACAAGTCCTCCTTCCCCATATGTTGAAGTTTGAACATTAAAGAAGCATGCTGAGGCAAGCATATAAAGCAAGGTTTATTTACGGATTTACCCATCTTTACTGACTGCCTGTCTAATTCTGGCTTCATCAGGACTAAAATTTGTCCTTTGTTAGAATATCCTTTTTCAATTTGAGGTATTCCTGTCTTTGAATAACAACATCTGGGAAAGCACTTAGAACAACATGCAAACTTTCCAAGTTTTTCTTCTTTGGATACTGTGGTGGTTTTGTTGTGGTAAGTCTAATGTTCTTTTCTCTCTATAAATCACTTCATTTTTGGTATCCACAGTGTGGGAAGGAGAGGTGAGGTATTTCCTGGAACCAATACCCCATGGATACTGAAGGATGACTGTAAATAATGTTAAAACATATATAATACAAAATATTGATTTATATTAATAAAAAATTAAGAAAAAGGCAGATGGACCAAAAGATGAAAAATAGATATCAGACATAAGATGTAACTAGTTACTGGAAGAATAAATAATAAGAAATTCCAGAAAAATAAGATTAAAAAAAGAACTTTATTGTATTTTTCTTTGTGTGTAAAATATCAAAGCAGGTTGTATTTGTACATGAAATACTACATCTTTATGCAATTTTCTCTTTGACGTCTGCTTGCTGGTGCTACTGCAGAAATAGATTATTGTGGGAATGAGTTGCTTGCTTTGTTTTGTCAAAGAAATGAAACAGCCATTAAAATAACACATGCTGCAGTATTTTATGCTTCTATAATTCTGTTATGAGAACAGACTGTTTACATAAGATTCTGTGACAGGAGATGGAATTAGTAGCTAAAGTTAAATAAAAACAAAATGAAAACCCAAGTGTTTTCCATTGTAGGGCATTACAAATGAGTACAACCAAAATATAACTTTTATATTATTTAACTCTTCATTTTATTTGAAACTTTTCTGATTGTCAGCATGAACTTTATAAGTAGAGCACAGAACTAAATGTATGTACCTCTGAAGCCCATCATTGTTGTCTTAATTTTGAAGGCTTTTGGTAGGTCAGAGGACTATTATTACTTCTTCACGTTCAAAATATTCATATTCTTGCCATTTTCCACTGCTTATCTCTAGAAACTTAGCAAGGAAACACAGGGCAAGATTGTGTGTGTGTGTGTGTGTGTGTGTGTGTGTGTGTGTGTGTAGTATTTAGGGTTTTCTACATATGGGATCATATCATTGAAAAGAGAGACAATTTTACTTTTTCCTTTCTGACTTAGATTCCTTTCATTTCTTTTTCTTGCTAAGAAATAATTGCGCTGCTGTGTAAGTACTGCATGCTAACCAGTTGCACCACTGGAATGCTGAATGTTTTCTTTGATATAAGGAGGCTGATTAATAGTGGGAGCAGGAGCATGGGAGGAATAGAGAACTCTAGATAGGGCAGAGGGGTTGAAGGGGAAGCGAGGGGGTAATTAATGATGGTGAAATATTGATGATCATTACTATCCAAAGTACATGTATGAAGACATGAATTGGTGTGAATATACTATGTATACAACTAGAGATATGAAAAATTGTGCTCTATATTAATAATAATTATAATGCATTCTTCTGTCATATATAAATTAAAAAATTTACATAAAAAAAGAAATAATTGTTCTGGCTTGAACTTGCAGTACTCTGTTTAGAAGAAGTGGCAAATGGTAAAAACTCTAAAGACTTTGGACAAAACTCTGAGACCCATTAAATAAATTCAGTAAAGTTGCAGGATGCAAAGCCTATTAAAATTAGTTGTGTTTTTATTCACTATCAAGGAACCATCGAAAATGAAATTAAGAAACAATACCAGCCAGGGTCCGTGGCACATGCCTATAATTCCAGCAGTTCAGGAGGCTGAGGCAGGAGGGTCGCGAGGTCAAAGCCAGCCCCAGCAAAGGCAAGGCTGTAAGCAAGTCAGTGAGACACTGTCTCTAAATAAAATACAAAATAGGGCTGAGGATGTGGCTCAGTAGTTGAGTGCCCCTGAGATGAATCCCCAGTACTGATAAATAAAGAAATAAATAAAAAATAAACAATACCATTTGCAGTAGTATAAAAAAGAACCTAATCCTTAGGAATTGACTTAACCAAGGAAATGAAATATAACTACAAAATATTGATGAAAGAAATTAGAGGAAATGCAAATATTGAAAGATATCCTGTGTCCACAGAAGACCTGAGCCTCATGTTAACTATACATATGTGACTTTCTAATAAAAAGGAAAACTATTTTCCAAAGTTACTATAAATTTTTTATTCCTGTCAGCAATGAATGGATGTACTAAGTGTTCATATCTTTACCAGCACTTAGTATTGTTACTTTTGTTTAATCAATTTGATAGATGGGAGATGATATTTCTTGTGATTTCAATTTGTATTTATTTTCCTAATGTCTAATGATGTTACATCTTTTAAAAATGTTTTTTATTAATGTATTATAGTCATACATAATATAAATTTTGATACAATCATCTTGATATTATTATATCATAATATCATTTTTATATTATTTTTAATTTTGATATAAATCATACATGCATGCAATATAATTTGTTCCATTTCAGTCCTGAGTAATTCCTCTTTACCCTACCACCTGCCGCCCCCTTCCTTTTGCTATTCTGGTCTTCCTTGTATTTAATATTTTTTCAATCAGTGCTTCATAGATACAAATAAAGTGAAATTCACTGTGATATATTCATATATGTACATAGCATCATTTGGTCAATTTCATTTTACATTTCCTTCCCTTTTCCTGTCCCTTTGCCCTTCCCCTTGGTCCTCTTCCTCTACTGATTTCCTTTCTATTTTCATGGAACCCCCTTCCATTCCCCCCCATTTATTTCTCTCTAGCTTCTGCATATCAGAGAAAACATTTGACACTTTATTTTCTATCTTTTTTGGAACTGGGGATTGAACCTAGGACCACTCAATCACTGAGCCACATTCCTAGCCCTATTTTGTATTTTGTTTAGACACAGGGTCTCACTGAGTTGCTTACCACCTCGCTTTTGCTGAGGCTGGCTTTGAACTCATGATCCTCTTGCTTCAGCCTTCTGAGCCGCTGGAATTACAGGCATGTGCCACTGTGCCTGGCAGACTCTTTATTTCTGAGTCTGGCTTATTTCACTTAGCATGATATTCTCAGTTCTATCTGTTTACCAGTAAATGTCATAGTTTCATGTGCTAATGTGTCATTATATGCATATCTTCTTTTCTAAATTGTCTTCAAATCTTTCACCTATGTTTTTATTAACTAGAACTTTTTTTTTTTGGTTGACCTTTGAATCTTTTTAATGCTTTTTGATTTTTTATATTTTTTTTATAGTTTTTTTTTTTTTTTTTTTGGGTGTGTGTGTGTATATGTGTGTGTGTGTGTGTGTGTGTGTGTGTGAGAGAGAGAGAGAGAGAGAGAGAGAGAGAGAGAGAACTGTGTATTTTGGCTTATAATTTTATTTCCTTAACAAATGTCTTTAACAGTACAGATGTTTTAAATTATAAAATTAATCATGGTTTCTTAAATTTCTCCCTATAGTTTTATAACTATAGGTTGTGTATTTGGATTTTTAGTTCACTTAAAATAAATAGGAATTGTTTAAATATTTATGTATTTTTTATTTTTAGAACAATTTTAACCTCACAAAAAGTATTCTTATTGTTTTCAGTAAATGTGGCTTCACTATCACAAGATAATTTTAATTTGAAAACTGTTCTTATAAACTGTTGCTAAATCAATGATATCACATATTCCTCAAAAAAAGTCACAGTATAATGTTTTTTTTTTGTCTCAGGTGGCAACATATGACTTCAGCATTCAAATTTATGTTAATTCCTTTAAGGCTTCAGAACTCTACACTGAATTTTTGTCAAAGAAAAATTCTGATTTGCCAAAGACCACACCACTTATCAAACCATGTTCTGTTCAAGCAACTGGTATGTAATAAGAAATAGGCAACTGATGTGGATAAAAAAAAATTTTTTACTTAAGCATCTAAAAGTTTAAAAAATCAGAGTAATATTCATTTTTCAAAAATAGACTTATGAGAAGGTAAGATTATGATATGATTTTCTTGCATGTCATTTAAGTTTTGAGTACATAGAATTAAATGTTAATTAAAACCACAGATATATTTGTAGGTAAGTGACTAATTGCTAAAATAAATTAGAAGAGAATAAAAGTAGATTTAGTACTTTATTGTGTGGGAAGATTTAAATTTATTAAGGCAAATTATAAGTTATTGAAATAAAAGGAATTGAAAATAAAATGAAAAAAACTGACAATTTCATTTTAGAAAATGTTTTTTTTATTCCAAAAGATTGGGTTTACTAGAAAAGTTGGTACATTTAAAGACAATTATTAAGTACAATCAAATTTTGAGTTAGGTTTTTGAATATTTACTTACTATTTACAAATATTCTTGAATAAAACTGAAGTATACTGCAAACACTTTCAGCAAGCTTTGGCTTTGCTTTTTATCATATGAGCTTGAATGTTTTTCCCCTGGAAAGTAAAGAAGCCTATACTTGTTTTTATAGTTCTGATACTGAGTTAAATTGTCATTAATTATAGTGAATGAGTATCATATCAGTTAATAATTATGCATGGCATTTCATTAGACAGGCCTCACTAAAATAGCATGTGCATGATAGAAATTTATTTCACTCTCATTTAAAATCCCTAATTAGAAAGTACAGAGCTGGTATGGAAACTCTAAGAAGTTAACATTTTTAAAAATCATGTTTTAAAGTATCTTTTTAAAAAAATAAAATCAACATTGTCTGGTTTTTGCTGTCTAAATTAGGTAGGTTATCACTCATCATGAGTTCCTCATTCATTATATTGGCTTTTTCATTTTTTATGTGACTGTTTCACAAGATTGGTTTTTGCCTTTAGTTTCATTCATCTTTTCAATAGATCTTTTTATTAATTTGATGTTAAATCTAGCTATCTTTCCCCCTTGGTTTCTAGCATTGTTTTAAATGTTAGAGGTTTGAGAAATATGAATTTCTGTTTGTCCCCATTTTTAATGGTCTTTAGCAATTTTAAATTACCAAGAGTTCTTAATATTTTTGGATCATTCCTTGCCTTGCTGGTGTGTGTGTGTGTGTGTGTGTGTGTGTGTGTGTGTGTGTGTGTATATATATAAACAGTTCCTTTTATTACTATTTTATGATTATTTCTTTGACATTCTCTTCTGTTGATTACATTGTTTGTATTTTTAGTGGATTTATTTTTCCTTTATGCCTTTTTTTTCATGTTGAGTAGTTCCTTTTATTTCTGTTGACCTTTACCTGTTCTTTCATGCTTATTAGTGACTCTCAAAAGGCTAGCTTTGGCACTAAATACTGTATCTAGCAGTCAGGATACCAATGAACGTTTTTAATGTGAGGGAGTAGGGTGGTCTGAAGTGTTAGTTGGTGAGTCACCTGATGGCTCAGTTTCTCCAGAACATGATTCTCTAATAATCTATTCTAGGGAGAATATAACTTCTTTGTTTAAATGAAATAAGACTTTCTAACTGGTGAAGTAACATGCCAAAACAATGCCCACTTTTTAAAGATATAAACACCCTATTTTTTCTGTCTATCCCCTATTGCCAGTTTGTATTTACAAAGGCCATATTATATGTACTACTTTTTGTATTTCTGTCATAATGTTATCTTTTCCATAATTTCTCATGACAGATATTGTGTATGATACAATGGTGACCACGATCTACAAATTTCTGTTATCCCACAGATCCTAAGCTCCCTGCAAAATATCCATTAATTCCAGTGATGTAATAAAGCATGTGTGAGAAGCATACATGTTCAGGATCATAAATTAATGCATTTTATACACTTGTTTTCCTAATTGCTTATGAGATCTTTTAGTTTCTATTAAAAATTCAAATGTCTCAGCTATACTTTTCAAAAAGTATAGGTTTTTCTAGCAGGTAACAATAACTTCTAAGACATTTAAGTATTTTTATAGCTACCCATTCCTAATTTTCTATAGAATAAGCCATTTACTCTTAGCACTTTCTTGTTTTATCTAGGAAATATTATATGATATGCCATCTATATATTGTCCTGAATTCCAGTGATTTTTTTCTTCATTTCTCCTCATTTTGTCATTGATCAAACTTTACTATGGGTATCATTTTAACTGTGTACTCAATATTAAATATATTGCATACTTTAACTGTATAGCTCAATATTAAGTATATTGCATACTTTTTATCATCTCATTGATAACATTTAATGGTAATTGATTATTAAATTCATAAAGTTGAATGCTGTAAGTATGAAAAGCAGGATATTTTTGAAATATTTTTAAACATAATTTTATTTCCTAGCTAGAAATGTAATCACAGAAGCAAGCCTTATTTTCTCAATGTTTCATGTAGATAAATATACTAAGTGCCTATGAGCTTATATCTATTAATACCTTATCAGAATATTTACTTTTCTTTCAAAGTATTACAAGCACCATTGAATTTATCCAGTACTGAGTTTGTATTTCACATTCCTTTACATGAGATGGAGGCTAATAAAAAGGTCAATAAAACTCAGGTATGTATAGAGAATCTATACAGTTTATAATTGTTTTATAATTATGGTTTTTTAATTATGATTTTAGTTTACTAAATGGATTTTGAATGATTTGAAATATTCCCTATGAGCAATATTTTCCCTAATATTTATGCTATTTGGAGCAAGAATACTGGCACTTTTAAAAAGGGTATATATGTGTGTAGTGTGTGCTTGTATAATTTTTCAAAGTAATTTTCAAAGCATATAGTCACATATAAAGCTATGTATCTTATAAATACCTTATAAATAGACGAATATATTTAATAAGAATATTCAAAATATTTGAATAAAATTTAATTATTTTCTTAATATAATGGAAGCTATGATTTAAATTAATGTGAACTATATTCCATACATATAAGAAAAATTGTCAAGTAGCAATAATAAAAGTGAAAAATTGAGGTATAAAATAATTTGTACATTGATCGACTCTTTTTGCTTACTGAATCTCTCTGCCTTTCTTCTAAAATAGGAGCCTATAAGAAAGGAGAGCATGTACATACATGTCATAGGCATTTGTATTTGAGTTACCCTTTTTTCCTAATACATTATTATTCCTATTACCATTTATGAACTTCTGTAGTGCTGAAGAGGTATATGGAGAAAATATTTAATGTTATATCTGTAAAAAATAGCAGAATTCTATATGAAATTATAGTTAGAGATCAGTATCTTTGGCAATTAAAATGTGATTTTTTTAGGGCCTAAAATGTCAATAATAGGGCTGGGGTTGTAGTTCAGTGGTAGAACACTTGCCTAGCATATGTGAGGCACTGGGTTCAAGCCTCAGCACCACATAAAAATAAATAAATAAAATAAAATCATTGTGTCCATCTATAAAGAAAAATGTTTACAAAAAAAGTCAATAAGACTTTTTCTAATAGAATTTTGAGCATACAAACCACCTCTTGTATGTAGCACTAGAAAGGAAATTTTAGTGAAGTGAAATGAATTTAATTTCAGATATTGAAAATCCCTTATTACATGTGAGATTATTTCATATCATTAAAACTTTGTTCTGTAAGAAAAAAAAGATCTAGATCCCAACATCCTTCTCTTTAAGAGGCAAAGGGGTCACACTGGCCCCAGGGGGAAGAAAATGTGACTTTAATATACTACTTGTATTCCCTATGAATGATATTTGCACAGACCACACAATATATACAGAGAAAACTAAATATGTTTATGGAACAGAATTAAAATATTATCATTTATAACTTGTCATATGTGAAATGGCATGCATCAATACATATGTGAAAGTTAAGTGGATGGAAAAGTTGGGAAATCCTGGAAGGAGTAATAAAGCTCATTTTACACAGTGAGTAATTAAAGGATAGTATCAAAAGTTGACAGGAAAAGAACTAGAGATATAAATGTATTGCTTAAAACTATTAGTTGACTAATAGAAAAATTAAAATAATATAAATATCCAAAAAATAATATAAATATCCAAAAAAATAGGAAGTGAGGACAAGACTGGATGTAGTATAAATGGACTAAATACTTGTCTTTCTTGGGGCAATCAAGAGACAATAATCTGAAGCTGATACATCATGAAATAGCCACATGGCAGACAGAATAATGGCTCTCAAACATGATTAAATCCTAATATCCAGAATTCACAAGTACATTAGCTTACATTGCAAAAGATGCTTTGATGATGTGTTTTAAGGACGCTGAGAAGTGGAAATTGTCTTGGATTATCTCGGCGATTCCATTCTAATCATTTGAGTGGTTAAAAGTACTGAACCTTTTCTGACTGTATCAGAGGGGAATGTGACAACAGAGGAAGGGTCAGAAAGATTTGCTGTGTTGCAGGCTTTGAAGACAGAAGGAGGCCAGCAGCCAAGGAATGCAGCTGGCCTCTAGAAACTGAAAAAGGCAATGAAAGGGACTCTTCCCCAGAGTTTTCAGAAAGGAAAACAGTTCCTGCCAACACCTTGGTATAAGGAATAATAATAAAGAGAGACACAGAGACAAGGTATAGAGGCAGGGAAGGTGACAGAGTGGTTCTTTGTCCAAGTGGCCACGTTTTTTTATACCAAATAGGTTATATTAAGCTATTAGTATCGTAACCACATTATTGTTTAGAGTATCAGTAAGGTTGCTTATTCTGAAGTTAGAGTTCACAGTTACAAATGCAATGTTAGGATCTTTGTGCAGTTCTCAAGAAAGTCCATTGTCTGAAGTTGCTGTTAGGTGGGCAGCTCCAGGAGCTTGGTGAAACATTGTAGTTATCAAGGAAGCAAGTTCCTTTATTCACAGGAGTTATGTGCCTAAGATTAAGGTCTAGCATGGGGGGCATTACCATAGCCACCTGGCATCCTATGCCTTTGCACAGAAACTTACCCAGGCACCAAGCATGCCACAGCCATGAAGTCATCAGGGACTCCAATCCCAAACATAAAACCCCTATACCTTGGATCTTACTTAAGTGATATTGTGTTGAATTTCTACCCTACAGGGATGTAATATAATAAATTATCTGTTCTTTAAGCCACTATGTTTGGGGCAGCATGTTATAGCAGCGATAGAAACCCAACAGAAACTATATCAACATTACATTTAGAATAAGGCTATCTAGATAAAAGCTCGAACCAGCATTGGCTAAAATCAGTTGCAGAACTGTTGATGGGAAGGCGCTGAGGTGAACAACTACTTTTAATAAGCATTTTTGAACTCTTTTTAAGGTACATTTATGTATCATTTTGATAAAAGTATGAAGAAAAACTAACACAATACTAAATATACAATGTAATAAGTGTTTCTCTATGGATAACTATTAGTTCCATTCTCATAATTATAGAAAATAGAAGTTGATACTTTTATTGTTGTTTGCCATGCTATAGATAGAAATAATTAAGAGGTATAACTTTTCCTCATTTTAGAATGCTATAATAAGGCATTCAAATGGCTGCTATGATTTTTGTGCCCACCTATATTAAAAGTTTCTTGAAAATATGTAAATTTGCTTTGTTATGGTTAAGATATACAAATATTAGAACTAATTAGATGCTTAAATACTTGAGGCATTGGTATTAAAATGTGTTCATTTTATCTTATATGTTTTGAATCAATCATTCTTTAGAAAGAAGAATGATATTTTGTTGTAGTAACAGTTGTATGGATTATTTTGCACTTTTTAAATTTTGAAAAACTAAAATTAATTTTAAAATCTGGTTGATAGTTTTAGTTTGATGGTGCATTGCATTGAAAAGATAAGTCTACATGAAAGTCATGCCCATAACTCCCAGACTTACTAAAATGTTACAAAGACAGTACAGAATTTGTATATACCCTTCACTCTTTTTCCCTAAAGCATTTCCCATACTAAGAAATTAATGTTAATATAATGTTATTAACTAAAGAATAGTCTGTCTGGAATTGACTACTAATGTACTTTTACTTTTCAAGAGTTTAAACCAGGATACCACATTCCATTTAGTGTCCTCTGATATGCAACAGGCTCTCAATCTTGATACATTTTTATAACCTTGAGAATTTTTAAATTTACCTAACAGTTTTTTCAGAAGGTCCTTCATGTGTGTCTGATGTTTTCACTGGACTATACTGAGTTCATATTTTCCATTGGTTTGGGGGAATGTCACAAAGGTGAAATGTACTTTTTATAATTCATATGAAAGAAGTTCATGATACCAAAAAGACTCATCACTAGTGATATCTTCTGGGTTTCTCCACTGTAAAGTTAGTATTTTCCCCTTTCATACTCTGTACTATGGAAATTATGGAAGTGAGTGATCAGTTTTAGTCCACAAAGAATAGAGGGTTTTGAAAAGGAGCATTATCATACACTATTTGTTTTTTGAAAAAAAAATTATTCTTTAGTTGTAGGACAAAATACCTTTATTTATTTATTTTTAATGTGGTTCTGAGGATTGAATCCAGGGCCTCGCACATGCTAGACAAGCGCTCTACCGCTGAGCAACAACCCCAGCCCCAGCATATACTATCTGTAGTTTTTCTGTAAGAAAGAATATTCTCTCCCCCTTTTATTTAATTAATTACTAAGCATGTTGGTATGAGTTCACCTATAGCATTTACTTTATACTTTTAGTTATACTCCAATATGATGTCATTTATTTTGTTGCTAAAAAAATTTCCAGCTTTGGCCATTAGGTGTTCTTTTAGGTCAGCCCTTTGACATGCTCCCATCATCGTTATTTTTAAGCATTTTCTTAATTACTGTCACTACCAGATGTTCCAGGCTCATCTTTTACTTCAATTCTACAAACAACATTTTCTCCAAGACACCCTAGAACCTTTCGTGGTAGAATGATATTTAGAAACCAACATCTGGTTATTGAATGTGCTGGTTGCTTCTGATCTGTGACAGATAATAGGCTTTTTAAGCAAATAAAGCCAGGAAAAATTTGTATGTGTACTATCTCATTTTTAAGCACACGTGCGTGTGCATACATACACACTCAATTCAATGACAGATCAATTTAATTATAAAATATGTAGTTATTTGGCTCTGACACTTTTCACTTATAAAAGTTTATTGAATATCTACTCACATTTCATATGAATTAATAGTTTACCTTTTTACCACTGAATTTTTTTAATTTGTGAATATATTACAGTTATCTATTCATTAATTGAAGGAAATCTGGTTCTATTTTTTTCTTCCAGTGTTTGGTGATTATGCACAAAGTTATTGTGAACGTTCACATAGTTTTTTGTATACACATAATTTTTCAAGTCACTTATGTAAATATTTATACTTGGGGTTAAAGGATTTTTATGGTAGTTGTGTGTTTAACATCACAAGAAAGGGCCCAGCTGTCTTCCAAACTGGCAGTACCATTTTACATTCTCACAATCAGTAAATGAAGATTTTTGTTAATTTTATTGTTGCTAGCTAGCATAGTTGGTTTTTACCTTTTCAGTTTATTTTATTTCAGTCTGTATCTTTCGTGTTCTTTTCATAGTTGTTAAAATACACTCTGAACTAATTTTCATACACTTTGTTTGCCTAACATCACTGAAAACACTTTATCTATGATTAGAATTTTTAATCATTTTACTTTGTGCATAGTCCCATCATTTGATATCATAATAGAACTAAATTTTATAATGCATATTATTATTTTTGTCCAAAAACTTTTTGTGTATGTGTGAGCAGGATCTTCTCTTACATAATATCTCAAAACAAGATGTACAATGGACTTTGGATTTTAGTGATAATGATAAACCTTTCAAAAATGGCACATTTGAGTTTAGTATACTGACTGGTCATCTGCAACCAGATGAAAAGTGTAATGTTACCATAACTTTCTGTCCAAGTAAGTACTTTTCTCCTATATTTTTGATACAATTTCAATTTATTATTCATATGTTAAGTATTTAATACAGTTGCAAAAAGTTTAGATTATCTATTGTATGTTCTTTGTTATTTGAATAACCAATACTAATGTAATTTTTATCTCATTTTTGTCTTTTAAGATACTTAATTGACAAAAATTATATACATTCAAGGTATACAACAAAATGATTTGATATATATTGTACAGTTATTACCACAGATTGACTGACACTGCCACCATTACCCATGCTGTATATTAAATCCCCCAAATCTGTTAATTTTATAATTGAAAGTTTAAACCCTTTGATTATTATCTTCCCATTTTCTCTACCTGCAAGCCCCTGATGAGTATCATCTTCTCCTCTGCTTCTTTGAATATGACTTTCTAGATTCTGTATGACCAAAATCATAAAATATTTCACCTAAAACAATGTCCTCTAGATTCAAGCAAACCTGCAAATGCTGTAATGTCATTCCTCTTTAGGACAGAGTAATAGTTCATTGTGTATATATACCACATTTTCTTTATCTGTTCATCTATTGAAGCACATCTAAGTTGCTTCCACAGTTTAGATATTGTGAATTGAGCTGCTATAAACATTGTGGCTGCATCACTGTAGTATGCTGATTTTAAGTCCTTTGTATGTAAACTGAGGAATGGGATAGCTAGGTCAAATGGTGGATCCATTCCAAGTTTTCTGAGGAATCTCCATACTAAACTCTTCAATTATGCAGTTTGGTATATGAGGAGCTATAGGTTTGCCATATTTGGTCTTTCTTTTGTTGAATACATTCCTTTTTTGGAAGGGGGCAGTACTGGGGTTTGAACCTGGGGATACTTTGCCTGAGCTGCATCCTGCCTTTTGAAACAGGGCCTTACTAAATTGCTTGGAGCCTTACTAAGTTCCTGAGGCTAGCCTTGAACTTGTGATCCTGCTGTCTCAACCTTCTGAGTCACTGGAATTACAAGCATGTGTCACCATGCCCAGTGATACATCCCTTTAATACCTAATTTGTTTTTTTTTTTTTAAATCAGTCAATGTTAAATTTTGTCAAATGCTGTTTCTGAAATCATTGAGATGATTCCATATTTTTTATCATTGTGTTAACATGATGTATTACATATTTTTATTTTTATATGTTGAAATATTGCTTGCATCACAAGGAAAAATCCTGTTCGGTCATGATGTATGATCCTTTTAATGTGCTGTTGCATTCAGTTTGCTAATGTTTTGCTGAAGACTTTTGTATCTGTTTATCAGGCAGATTCACCTATAGTTTTCTTTACTTGTTTACTTGTGGTTTCTTTGACTGACCTTGGAATCAGAGCAATGCTTGTCTCATAAAATGCATTTGAAAGTATTCCCTTGTCTTCAATTATTTTAGATGATCTTGAGAAGAATTGGTGTGTTCTTTAAATATTTGGTAGAATTTAGCAGTGAATCTATTAGGTTCTGGGCTTTTCTTTAGTGGAAAATTTATTTATTGACTCAATCTCCTTATTTATTTTTGGTCTGTTCAGATTTTCTATTTCTGCATGATTCAGTCTTGATAGGCCTGGTTTCTAGGAATTGATTCATTTCTTCTAGGTTTTTCAATTTATTGACAATAATTGTTCATAGTAAGATCTGATGACTCTTTGTACTTCCATAGTATTAATATACTATCTCCTCTTTCATTTCTGATTTACTTATTTGAATCTTCTCTTTTTTAATTAGTCTAGTTAAATTACATAGTCTAGATTAGTCTTTCAATTTTGTGCATCATATTAAAAAAACCCAACTCTTAGATTCATTTATCTCTTATATTGTTTTCCTTCTTTGTTTCATTTATTTTTGCTCTGAAACATTAGTTCTTTCCATTTTCTAATTTTGGGCTTAGATTTTTCTTCTTTATCTAGTTCCTTGAATTGTAACAGTAGATTGTTAACTTGAGATACTTATTATTTCTTGGCATATTTATTGATATAAACTTCATTCTTAGAACTGATTTTGCTCTGTTACTTAAGTTTTCATATATTCTATTTCCATTCTAATTCATCTCAAGATTTCTTTTTAACCCCCCCTTTTTTTTCCATCTTGGACCCATTGGTTGTTTTGAAGCATGTGCTTTAATTTCTACATATTAGGACTTTTCAAAATTCTTCCTTTTGTTGACTTTTAGTTTTATACCATTTTAGTTGAAAAGGACATTTGAGATGATTTCAATCTATCTAAATTTGTTAAGACTTATTTTGTGGTCTAACATATATTCTGAAGAATGTTCCATGTATACTTGAAAAGGACATGTATTTTTATTATTTGATGAAATATTCCACATAGGCTATTAGGTCCATTTAGTCTAAAGTTTAGTTCTAGTCCAGTATTTCCTTATTGATCTTCTGTCTGGATGATCATTGCATTCTGAAAATGAAATATTGAAGTCAAGTTTCTCCACACTATTATTACATTGCAATCTGTCTCTCTCTTCACATATATTACTATTTGCTTATACATTTAGGTGCTCTGATATTGGGTGTTTGCATATTTTTAGTTATTATATCTTATTGATGAATTCATCCCACTACTAATGTAGTGATTTTATCTTATTTTAGAGTTTTTGACTTGGTGTATAATTTGTCTATTATGAGTATAGCCATCTCTGCTCTCTTTTGGTTCCATTTATGTGAAAATTTTTTGTCGTTGTTCTTTTACTGTCATTCTGTGTGTATACCCTTAAAGGTGAAGTGAGTCTCTTATAGGAAATTTTATATCCATTCAGCCATTGTCTTTTCATTAGAAAATGAAATCCATAATAATTTCAATGTAGCCTTGTCAAAATCCAGAATTCAGTAAATCTCGAAGCTTTGCCCAACTCTGAAATTTATTAACTTGATTTTTCCTCTCTTCAAAATAATTAAACAACATTAATTATGTTGAACATTTTTTTATCTCACAAAAATAGAAGGGTGATCAGTAGAGAAGTAGGGGAGAAGGAGGGAGGAAGAAAGGAAAAGAGGAAGAACTGGGTAATAAAATCGACCACATTATGCTATGTGCATGTGTGAATATACCACAGTGAATCCCATTATATGTATAATTATAATGTACTTATAAAAATATAGACATAAATAAATAGAAGGAAGTCCAAAAGATTAGAAGAAGGGGATCAAGGTAGCACAGGCATGGAGGGAAGTGGAAGTAGTGAGGAATGAATTGGAACAAATTAAATTATGTGCATATATGAGTATTTAACAATGAACCCACTAATATGTATAATTATAAAGCACTAATGGAAATATTTTTTAAAAATTTGCAACATTAAATTCATTACAGTAAATCAACTTTTCCCTACAGAGTTGTAATATTTAAATACATATAGTCCAATATAACTCATTTTATCTTCTGAAGATACAAATACAGCCTTTTACTTTTCTCAGTGTTTCTAATACTCATTTGTCACCATTAGTATGAAACCCATTATTTTCTTATTCATCTTCCCCTTGTATCTCCAGACACCACTGTTTTTCTGAGGATCATAGACTGATCAAATAATGGTCTTATTTGATTAAGTAAAGTCATCCAGTATACAGAGAAATAGTGAGTCTGATGATTTCAGTGACTTCATTGCTTCTGTTTCTGGCAAACAATTTCACTTTTGAACATGGTCCTGCATCATCCATTATATTCTCATCCTTTGCTCTGGCAATACCCTTAATGGCCCCAATCCTGCAAGGCCACACTGGCAACCCATTTTTAGGTTGTAATAAGCTTGAATTCTCAATCACCAGATAACTTTTTTTCTCTCTTTGAGACACTATCATCATAGGAAATTCAGGTGTGAAAGGACCTTGACCACTTTCTGTGATAGAACCTATCCTCAGGAACTAACCTGCATTTTCCTATCTTGAGCCAGGTTCTCAAATGCAAACTGCCTCTCCTTCAATTAAATTGCCACAGGGGAGTTTCTTGTCTTTCCCTAATAGGGGAAATTCGCCAATCTACTATGGCAGTATCTCCCTATCTTAAAACTCTGAGAGAAGGCACATTCTTTTGTTCTCAGCACATCCTGTTCTCAGTAGTGCCTTAGGTTCCTATGGCAGTCTGACCTCATCTTCATCCTGCATATTGTAAAGGGATGGGTAGTTTTAATAAAGTGAGAAAACAATTTTAAAAGGAAGTCCTGTTGCAGTGCTTCCTCGAGGTACATTTATTTCCCCCAAAATAGAGAAAAGTTACTTTAAGGAGAGTCCTCCATTTCTAGACAAGGTACACTTTAAAATATTTTTCTTTCAAAAATACGTCATTAGGCATTAAATTCTTCAGCAGGCAAAATCTAGTTTCTGGGCAATCTGGTCGGCTTCATTGAGCTATACATCATAGTATGTTTTAATGTTTAGTAAGTTTTAGCAATATTTAATTTTTTTTGCTTGTGACCAAATCTAATGCAATTTTATTTTTTTTTAAATTAGGTGAGCGTATAAAATACACAGTTAATATTCCTATGTATTTAAATGACAATCCAGTTTGCTACAGAGTATTATGTCTGACTGGAGAGATACAATCACCAAAATTATTGTTTGATCCACCATTTATATTTTTTACTCCTGTTCCTTTGGATGTAACAACAGGGATGGATATCAACATTTTACCCCAGAACTATTTCAGGTAAATTCTTAATGTAAATTTATCAGATCTTTATGTGCTATTTTATTTGCATCTGTTATATAAGAGATATATGTAATGTTTCACTTGTTTTTATAGTTGAAAAGAAGTATTAAAATATTTGTGTATTAATATTTAAAAATACAAAATAATCCTTTATAGCTATCTATAACACTCATTATATTTTCTTGTAAAATTTTTTGATGTCTCTTTATGGAATAAGAAGCTTGAAATTCCAGCAAGTTAGTTTTATGTTCCTTTGTGACAAATTACTACAAACTTGGTGCCTTCAAAAAAAATACCTGAGGGGCTGGGATTATGGCTCAGTGGCAGAGAATTTACCTCACACATGTGAGGCACTGGGTTTGATCGTCAGCACCACATAAAAATAAATAAACAAAATAAAGATATTTTTAAAAAACCAAACACCTGATATCTCACACAACATGAATTTATTATCTTCCACTTTCTGTGAGTTTAGGAGTCCAGGTTGGCTTAGCTGACTTCTCTATTCAATGTCTCAATCAGCAGAAATCAAGCTGTTGGCCAAAGCATCAGTCTCATCTAGTCTTGCTCTGATCTATCAGGTTGTTGGCAAAATTAATTTCCTTGCACTTTTAAGACTAGTGTGCCATTTTTTAACTGGAAACACTCAGCTCTCCAATTTCAACCTAAAGTTCTAGCCATGTGGCCATTACTCACAGCATACTAGCTAACTCATCCAAGGACAAAAGTCTAACATCTATCAGACTTCTTTGTTTCTGACCTGCAAACCTTTTAAGATTGTACCTGATTAAGTCAGATTTACTAAAAGTCAATCATTAGGAACCTTAATTACACCTGGAAATTTCCTTTGCCATTGCCATATAATATTACCTACTCTCAGAAGTGATATCCTATCGTATTTAAAGGTCACATACCCATTCAAGGGGTACAATTTACACAAAGTTTGTACACCAAGGTGAAGGCCTCTTGGGGATTATCTCAGATTTCTGCCTGTCACATTTAGACAGTATGGTACAATTCAGTCTGTTGGATTTACAAAAAGGTCAAATTTCCAATATAGCTGACACTATAAGTTACACTCAGCAGAAATAACCAGCATGAGGTTTAGATCCCTAAGCAATCCAGGTATTGGAATTATCTGAAATTCCAATATTCCAATTATTAATTGGTTTGAAAACTAATCCAACAAAGCTTTTAGAAATTTTAAAAAGGTTTGCAGGATAAAATTTTAAGGGCATCTGCTAATACTAAGAGTGTACATAGCTAACAAAACAGTACAGAAACAAACTAATGAACAATACCTCAGTTAACTTTAAAAATGAAAGGGAGAAAAAAGAATAATAAAAACAGCAGGAGAAAATTAAACCAAAAATTATAGAACATCTCTAAATAGAGAAACTATAATAAAATGTAAATGAACTACTCTGAGTAAAGGGTAATGTTCAAGTATATTAGAAAAATACCCAACTGCTTATTAAAAGAGGTGTAGATGAAGCAGAGGGACAAAGGAAAAAACATAAAGCCAGAATTTCTCACCCTCAGAACCGTTGACATTTAAGGGAGGATAATTCTTTTTTTAATTTTATGGAACCCTATCCTGTGCATTATAGAATGCTTAGCAATATGTTTAGTCTCTTCTCAATAGCATCTTTCCCACATTGTGGCAAAAAAAAATCTCAACCCATTGCTTTGTGTCCCCAAGGGGAGTAAAACCACCCTCAGTTGAGAAACACTATAGGGAAATGAGGGAAAAAATATAAGGTCATAACCAAAATACATCTGGGAAGCAGTATTAATTTCACATGCAAAGAACTTTAATAAGCACATTTTTAATATAATCAAAGTCACTAATGAATTATAAAAGTTACAGTTCACATAGAAGCAATCAGAATTCTAAAATTGTATGCATAATTAAAATAGTCTTAAAATAAATAAACCCTGAGTTTAAATAACAGTGAAAGTTAAATAGACCTTAATCATTGTAGGATATTCCAAACCATATCTCAAATATTGATGGGTCTAGAAGGCAAAATATTTGAACAAGATACTTAACAAGCTTCATTATTTTACCATGTATAAAGTACTAAACTTTACAACTAGATAGTATACATTTTTCTACGTCAAACATGGACAATTTTAAAAATTGACATGGTATGATTCTATAGTTATAGGGTAAGCCTCAAAAATTTTAGACTTAACGTTTTGTAGGCTATGTTCTCTGATACTAAGTATAATAAATTAAAAGCAAATGAAGATTAAGATCCCCCATAAGTAAGGAAATGTTAAAACAAACTTCTATAGGGAGTCAATGAAAAAACCGTATTGAATTATACAAATATATAACAATCAAAATGCTACATATCAGTAAAGTATATAATATAAATATTTGTCATTTCAATTTTTGGGATGATTTAAAAAACAAAGCAATACATATTTAAGTCTAATTTCTCGCTGGTATTTTGAGCTAATTTTTTTTTTCTTTTTCGTTTTAAACAGAAGTTCAACTCTAAATTTCCAGATTCCTTCAGCAAGGCTTCTTGACAATGATGAGATTCACCCTCTTTCTGTGATGTTTCCAAAAGGCAGAATCATCACAGGATCCAACAATGGAATTAATAATGAGCTGTTTTGCCACCTCAGTTTCAAATCATCTAAACCAGTGTCATTTTTCACCAACCTTCTTTTCTATGATGATAGAGATAACTGGTAAGATATTTAAATGTAGATACTTTTATACTTAACAGTGAAGAATAATAGTTTTATATTCTATATCATTATAAAATGTTAGAAGGGGGCAATTTAATATAATGGCTTTGAGCATAAAGTGTTTTTTTTTTTTTTTTTTAAGTTCCACATACACATTTGGTCTCATAAGAAACAGCAGAGTACTGGTTTACTGGCATTTATTCTGGAGTTAGGCTGCCTAGGGTCAAATTCTGGATTTGTTAACCTTACTTCTGGACTACTTAGTGTCCTCTTCTGTAAAATGGGATGGTGATATGGATAACTCTATTGTATGTAGTAAAATAGTGCACGAGGTATGGCAGATAAAGTAGCCTCTTGTTTTGATGGTGTTTTTGGTGATTTGGTTTGATGGATTCTCTTAAAACAGGCTCAGAGATGATGCAGAAGGGTAATAGTAGAATCATATAGAAATTTTTATTATGGACATATTCTTTTGTGATTAGCACTATCATATGTCATATATAGACTTTCTAAAGAATAAGAAAAGATGTTCTCTTTTCTTTCCATCCTGCTCTTTTCTGTGTTTTTGTCTTTTTCTCCCCCACCCTGTACACAAAATTAAAATTCCATGTTTGACAAATAGTAATGATCGTTATTAAGGTCTACTCAATAAGGGCAGGAATATTATTCATTTATTTTTATTGATATATAAATTTACTAGTCAAAAACTCATAAATTGTCTCCATGGTAATAGCATAAATCAAAGGAATATTTATGCATTCGTTAAAAAAATGTTACAACTTCTACCAGCAACGCTTTAGATGTCTTATTTAAAAATAAATTTATTATGTATGGGTACACATAAAATATCACAAAACTCAAATATTTTAAATTAATAGTTTGCGAAGGACATCAAATAAATATAATACAGTGAAATTCAGTAACAAAACAGCTGTTAAAGTGCTGTTAAATTAAAATTTCAAATTGAAAATATGCATTTCTTGTAAAAATTAAATATTTTATTATTTTCTACAGTACTCAAAGCACGTTTATTAAACAAAATATGTATTATTTTATAAGTTTATGGATTTATGTAAAGTTTTGTGCCTATTTGTAAAATATCTTTAAGTGCTGGTAGAAATAGTTTTTGAGTGAGCCAAGACATAAATGCAGTGATAAAATATAATTCCTCTCATTGCTGCTTTGAAAATCAAGCTCTATGCTAGGTCAACTTATTCTTTTTTTTTTTTTTTTTTTTTTGTCCTCACAAATTCAGCCTTTTTCATCTTGACTTTCCTTCTCTTTCCTTTTTTTTTTTTGTGGTGCTGAGGATTGAACCCAGGGCCATGTGTATGCAAGGAAAGCACTCTACCAACTGAGTTATATATCCCCAGCCCTTCTTTTAATTTTATTAATTAGCAACCGGACATTCTGTTTTTTTTTTGTTTGTTTGTTTTTTTGTTTTTTTTTTTTTTTTTGTATTCAAGTATTTTATTAAGCCAATCAAACTAAGGTTTCCTTTTGTTCTTTTCTTGTTGTTCTTTTTAAACATTATTTATTTGACAATGTTTATTATGTACAACATGTTTTTAAATTTGTATACATTGTGGAATGGCTAAATTGAGCTAATTAGTATATGCATTATCTCATGTACTTGTTTTTGTGGCAAGAACATTTCAAATCCACTCTCTTAGCAATTTTCAAGAATAGAGTACATTGTTATTAACTCTGGTCACCATGTAATACAACAGGTCTCTTGATCTTGTTCCTCCTGTCTTTGATCATCATCATCTTCTGAATCTCTCCCATCATCCTACCAGACCAGCCCTTGTCCTCATCCACTCCAGCCTCTAGTAACCACCATTCTGTTCTCTCCTTCCATGAGCTCACTTTTTTCAGGTTCCACATGTGAGTGAGATAATACAGTATTTGTCTTTCTGTGACTGACTTATTTTACATACTATCCTTTAGGTTCTATCCAGGTTGTCACCAATGACAGGATTTTCTTCTTTTTAAAACAATAGTATTGCATTACATAAATGTACCACATTTTCTTTATCCATTCATCTGTTTATGGAAACTTAGGTTGATTTTACAACTTGGCCATGGTGAATAGTGCTGCAGTGAACAGGGGAGTGCAGGTATCTCTCTCATGTGTTTGTGTGTATATATTTTTAAACACCATAAGTTTATCTTAAATATCACAATAGTCTTCTTTTAGCATCATGATAATCATTCTTAAGAATATTTTTCATTTATCACACACATACACACACACACTCACACACATACACCACTTTTGGGATTGCTGGATCCTGTAGTAGTTCTATTTTTAATTTTTTGAGGAACTTTCATGTTCTTTTCCATAATGAAGCTACTAATTTACATCCCCACCAACAGTGTACAAGTGTTATTCAACACTTGTTACCTTTCATCTTTTGGGTATTAGCCATTTTAACTGGGGTGAGATGATTATCATTGTGTTTTTTTTATTTTTTTTTATTGGTTGTTAAAAACATTATAAAGCTCTTGACATATCATATTTCATACATTAGATTCAAGTTGGTTATGAACTCCCAATTTTACCCCAAATACAGATTGCAGAATCACATCAGTTACACACCCACGTTTTTACATATTGCCATACTAGTGACTGTTGCATTCTGCTACCTTTCCTATCCTCTACCATCCCCCCTCCCTCCCCTCCCATCTTCTCTCTCTACCCCATCCACTGTAATTCGTATCTCTCCTTGTTTATTTTCCCATTCCCCTCACAACCTCTTATATGTAATTTTGTATAACAATGAGGGTCTCCCTCCATTACCATGCAATTTCCCTTTTCTCTCCCTTTCCATCCCACCTCATCTATCTGTTTAATGTTAATCTTTTCTTCCTGCTCTTCCTCCCTGCTCTGTTCTTAGTTGCTCTCATTATATCAAAGAAGACATTTGGCAACCGGACATTCTGGATAAATATTGAGACGTTTATTCACTTATTCATTCAACAAACATACACTGAATGTCTTTCATGTACCACACACTGTTCAAAGCACTGGAGACTATATCAAGGATCAGAACATGATCTCTGGTTATGGAGCTTAGAGTCTAGAGAGGGAAACAAATGATAAACAATGAACACATGAAAGCACAGTACAATATAAATTTTCTAGTATGTGGTAATTAATAGAATCTATAGGAGAAAGAAAAAAGCTTGTGTTCCTGCTCCTGGTGTATCTTATTCCCTTTATTTATGAAAAAGATTCTTATCAAGTTGATTTTTTTTCTTACTTTTTTATTTATCCATTTGATCTTTACTGAATGATAAGTATATACCTAGTTTTGTTTCTTTTTTAAAAATATCTTTTTAGTTATAGATTGAGAGAACATTTTTATTTGATTTATTTATTTTTATGTGGTGCTAAGGATTGAACCCAGTGCTTCATGCATGAGAGGCAAGTGCTCTGCCACTGAGCCACAACCCCAGCCCCTATATACCTAGTTTTCTTTTGACACTAAGGTAACAATAAACTCCTGTCCTCATAGAACTTCATTTGTAATGAAAGATACAAAAATTGATAAATAATGTCATAATTTCTCAAAGAAAAGAAATCATTTTAATGAGAAAAAGAGTTTTTGTTTCATTTTGTTTTGAATAGCGGGTCTCACTATGTTATCCAGGCTGGTCTCAAACTCCTGGACTCAAGTAGTCCTTCTGCCTAAGCCTCCTGAGTAGTTGAGAGGCTACAAACCTGCACCACCATACCCAACTTAATGATAAAGAGGAAGGGATAACTCAATGCATTAAATAGAGGAAGCATACCAGGAGGTGTATTAATTTCAGTAGATGGTTATTGTGAGAACTGAATGAGAACATGCCTTATAAAGTGTTTAGAAAAATCTAAACACTTAAGCAATAACTGAGTAATGTTTTTAGAATCAGCATTAATTTTAGAATTAGTATTGTGGTTTTCCAGAATGATCTCAGTAGCTACTATAGATATATGGCCATTCTTCTATTAAGAAAGTAATTGAGTCTATTCTGAGGCAAAATATTATCTTCCTAAGACAGAGAGATTTGCACAGGCAGGGAAGAAGGGGCAGGGGCAGGAATTCATTTGTCATGGGGATGAAGATTTCTTTGGATAATCTCCAAATCATTTATATTGCATTTCAGAATTGTTGTTTATTCTTGGCTTTGAAAATATCTCTGTTCTTGGAATCCACACAGAGTTCAGATGACTTTAAGCAGTGCCAGAATGTTGAAATTCCCTATTTTGCATCATGGTCTCCACTTTATGCTGAGAGGAAGCATTATATCTGGTAGAAATGTGTCATTATCAGAATGAAGTAGTGCCACTTGCACTTGCTTAATAAATTCATAGCCTGACTGCCAGTTTAGCTAGACCTTGACAAGAATGAAAGTTAAGTTTTAAATGATTAATTTCATAGGAATCCTAAAAATACCAAAGGAAACTTAATATTTCCCATTATTAACCTCCAACCTAGGGTGTTTTATAGAATCAAGAGTTGATTTCAAATACACATTTCAGGTAACTAAAAGTTTAACTTGAGTTAGAATTCCTCATGGAACAAATAGCAAACACATATTGAGGGTTCATAATTAAAAATGAAGAATGAACTCTGAGGTGTTCTAAGCACCATTTTTTTATAGTGTGAATCTTTTTTAAGTTTATTTTTTTATCCTAATTAGTTATACATGATAGCAGAATGCATTTTGATTCATTAGATGCAAATGGAGCACAACTTTTCACTTCTCTGGTTTTACACGATATAGAGTCACACCACATGTGCAGTCATACATGTACCTAGGGTAATGATGTTCATCTTATTCCACCATCTTTCCTACCCCCATGCCTTCTCCCTCCCCTTTGCCTAATCAGAGTTCTTCCATTCTCCCCATACCTACCCCCCATTATGGGTCAGCATCCACTTATCTGAGAGAACATTAAGCCTTTGTTTTGGGGGGGATTGGCTTACTTTGCTTAGCATGATATTCTCCAA